TTAACACCGTTTTCATAAATCCAGACATATATGTAGTGTGCCTGTGTAGTGATATAGACGTTGTGGCGGGACAATAAAGCATAAAGTAATTTACCTGATATGCAGCTTCCCTCATGAACTGCTTTGCCGCGGGTTTCCAAATGGCGGGTACCGTTATAACCCACTGAGTATCTTTGGCACTGTACCTGTCGTCTCCAGTTCTCTCGCGGATAATTTCGATAGCTCGATCTTTGAGGTATCGTATCGACTGCGAGAATACTACCAGAGCGTCGACCTTCCTTCCATTCCTAGCCGTTAATTTGGTATTCCGATCTAAAGTCTGATATGAAACAACAATTAAAAACCGTTGGTTTGACATTAATTTTACCAGTACATCCCCTTTTGTATTTATGCAAATAAGGAAAGCACTTTGTGGGTTGTCTTAGCTGAGAACTTAGCATTCAAAAATAAGCTGACGATGAATTTGTGGCGGCCTAGTGATCAGCCAACTTGTTTCTTTCTCCTTTAGAACTGTTCTGTAGTCTTTCTGTTTCAAAATCCTTTAGCATTTACCCTCTAGATGGCCTTTTCAGAACTCCTTCCATGCAGGTAGAGGTGCAATTGAACAGGTTACAGTCAGTCAGTTTGAAAGCTTTAATTTACAAAAACGTTCTATTGGAAAGATCATGAAACGGTTTTAAATTTCAACAATGACCCAGAGTTTAAAGGCAAAAATAGGCCCTACCTTATTTTTTTTCTAGGGTATGACTGTACGTGGGCTGAAGTGTTCTCAAACAAATGAAATTTCCAAATAACATAGTGGAATTTTAAACTTTAGATTTGTTTGTAAGATAAGCTAAGGTACCTGTTACTCAGAACACAAAGAGAAAGGAGGAGAAATTTCTCAGTTCAAAGGATAAATTACCGGCCGCCCTTACATTTCAGAGTTCATTGAACTGTGAAATATCTAGTAATTATGTATTTTCTTTTTACCTCTGATTTGTGAAGTGCCATTTTAAAATGTTTGAAGTACAAATATTCTCGATCTTCCCCGTAAAGAAAGTTGGCATATTTCTCTTCTGCTTCGTACCCAAACGAGTCAAACTCCTCATCCGGACGTAATAGTAGAGAGGTCGGAGTTTTGAGCGTTGCAGTACCTTGATCATAACCCCATTTTCTGTTCATATGGATCCCTCCTTCGCCTTCGTTGTGGTTAAAGGCAAAAGCAAAGCCACTGTATGTTGTTCCAAAATCAATGGCAACCACGGCTATGTGGGATGAACTTGGGAAGAGCATTAAACCTTCAAAGACAAGTTCAATGGACACATTTTCTCGGTATTATAGTTGATGAACAAATGCCATGAAATATGTAACTTCTAAGAGCATAGCGTGCAGTGGAACCGTTTTATGTGGGCGAGCATGCATGGCTAATGCTCGCGTACATGGCGGCCATTCTGGAGTCAGTCCCACTCCCCGCTTTTTCCCCCCACGATTATTCCTGTCACCGAGTCAAAGATCACCATAAATAAACATAATGTAACCAATCTCGACCTGTTAGTATGAAACCGTTTGAGTCTGGTCAAATAGTCGGCATTTGTTCAAAAAAGAATACAAATGTTATTGGGGTAAAAGGGCCAATACAAAGAATTGACCCTTCTGTTGTATGTCAAACCATTAATAACTGCAAGAACCGTTATGATAAGACACATAGATCGTTTTCATGTGACTTCATAATTTTCTAAAATCGAAAACTAAAAGCCACCAAAGTTTTTATCCCCATCAGGCATAAGAGGGGGTAAATTTATATATGTTTACAATGTTACAGC